CCCGAGCTTTGAGTCTTGAGCCTTGACTCTTTAGGGTTTAGGGTTTAGGGTTTAGGGACTGACTTGTCCAGTATGCTAGGGTAGCTACAGCTTAACCTTTGGGACTGTATCGGGATAATTTATTGTACCCTGCCCGAAAAGTTAAAGGTTACCTACTCACCTACTCTACTACTAAGTCCACAGGGCAGTACCTTTGTAGTAGAAAGTTCTGGTTTCTATCGTAGGCATTACCATTATGGTCTGGGTAAGTATATCCCACATAGGAAACCCTTTCCTTACCCATAGGCCCCATAGTAGTTCCTTTTTGGGGTTACCTTATAGGACTCTATATATGAACCCCAAAAAGGAACAACTTTAGGGCCTAAGCCCTAAAGCCTAAACCCTTTCCTTAGTCCCTCTACTGAGGCTCCCACTGTTCGCACAAAGCCCCGCAAGCGTCCGCCGAAGTCGCGGAGGCGACGGTGACAGGATGGGAAGCGGTACTGCAGCCACTGAAATTCCGGAAAAGAAACCTGGGCTTAATACCCTAAACCCTAAACACACAACCCTAAACCCTAAACCCTAAGCTTATAGCAGGTTCAGGGGTTGCGGTGAGTATAGGAAGGTCTACGGCTCAGGGGTTAGATGGGCGTAAGTGCTTAACTCAAGCTAGCAGTTAAGAAAAGGAAAGCATACAAGAGGCACTAGCGTAGCCCTGTTGAGAGGTCCTTATAAATGCCTTGCAAAGCCTTATCTTATCCAACCCTAAACCCTAAACCCTAAACCCTAAACCCTAAACCCAACCCTACAGCGCACATATTTTCAGAAAGCCAAGCAACTGGGGCGGCTTGGGCTTCGGAACAAAGTTGGGGGTACTCTGTGTACACCCCATGAAGTAGGACTTCTGCCTGGCATCAGGGGTTTTAGGGTTTAGGGTTTAGGGTTTAGGGGTTTAGGGTTTAGGGGTTGGGGGTCAGCGGGCTTCTTTCCCCCTAAACCGTTACGGCCTCAGGGCTGTTGGATTCAGGGCTTAGGAATTTTAGGGTTTGCTATGAAGTGTGCCTGGTATCATAGCAGAGGCCGGTTCTTGCGTTGCAGAGCCTTAGCTGTCCACTTCATAGGCCAATAGAAACCAAATGTTGGAAACTGAATTGTTGAACTAGAAAAAAGCTATAGGTTCCTGTTTCAGCGGCGGGTAGAAAACGTTAACACAAAAAAACCTATAGAACCCTAATGCATCTACCTACTCTGCTACTATGCGCTTGCTGAAGGGCTCTTTGGAGCAAGAGCCGCAGCAGCCCTGGGCACTGGCATTGTGCTTCGAAGTGCTTGAGCTGCTGTTGCACTCCAGGTAATACGCCTTCTCCTCGCAAGTTTGGTGCCGTGGAGTCTCGGAGGTTCGAGTCGAGGGTTTCTTGAGGCCCTAAACTCGAAATCCTAGACCCTAGACGGCCCTAAACCCTAAACCCTACAAGCCCTAAGCCCTAAACCCTAAACCCTAAACCCTAGACCTTGGACCCTAGACCGCAGACCCAAAGCCCTAAGCCCCAAACCCTGAACCCTAAGCAGCTTATGGGTTTGGGGTTGGGGTCGAGGGCCTGGGCTTCAGGGTTGAAGGGTCTTCGGGATAACCTTGGGGTTTGTCGGGTTTAGGGGTTTAGGGTTTCGGCGTTTGGGTTTAGGGTTTAGGGTTTAGGGTTTAGGGTTTAGGGTTTAGGGTTTAGGGTTTAGGGTGTGGGATTTAGGGTCTGGGTTTCGGCGTTTGGGGGTTTAGGGTTTAGCTGACCGGACTGTAGGATGTTCGAGGTTTAATGACGCGACTCCCAAAGAAGATCAGAACTGGGAAACCGAGAGAACGCTGAAGAAAAAATAGTCCTACATTAAATGAAACTACAGGTGGGGAGTGTAGGGTATATAGGGCTTCCATAATGCTTCCATAAGGTATACAGACCTTCTATAAAGCTCCTATAACCTATAACGGTAACTACCCACCTGAAAATGTCCTAGACTACACCCTTCACGCGTATCCCCAAACCCTAAGCCCTAACTAAACTCCACACCGCCTACGTCCTAAAGCCCTAAATCTGGCAAAACTTCTAACCCTGAAGGCAGAAGGTCGTAATGCAGGGGCCTGGATAATTAGAATAAGGCTTCTGGGGGAACAAGGAACCCTCAGAAATAACCCCAAACCCTAAACCCTAAACCCTGCTTCCATGTTATTAAGCTACAAACGGGACGTGAAGGCCAGATACCAGCAGCGTCCCAAGCATCGCCGAGCCCTCAGTGGCTCCCTTTTAGAAAAACAACTCAAACCCCACGGGTTTCAGTCTTTAGGGTTTAGGGTTTAGGGTTTAGGGTTTAGGGTTTAGGGTTTAGGGTTTAGGGTATAGAATCGTAAAAGCTTTTTTTGTAACTATTACATATAACAAATATATATTGATTGGGTTTAGGGTTTATTTACAAGTTTACACATATACATACCAATAGATAAATGTTAAAACATATATACATATATATATATATATATATGTATGTGTGTGTACCAGCCGTAAACGGTTTCATTCGCATCTTCTCAGAGTTTAGGGTTTCAGTGGTCAACTGAAACCTGAGCGCGTATAGAGCTGCATGGCCCCTGAAGCCCAAACCTTCAAAAGCCCTGAACCCTTCCAGAACGCTGAACCTCTGAGGCCCAAAAAACCCTAAACCGATAAAGGGTGCAAGGCTTAAGGTCTATAGGGTTTAGCGTTTAGGGTTTATAGGGTTTAAGGCTTAGGGTTTATAAGGTTTGGGGTTTGGGGTTTAGGGTTTAAGCCGAAGCCCTGTCCTGTGTCTGGTAGCATCGCCCGCTGTTCGGCGAGCAGAAACGCGACTCGCAGCTGCCGCAGCAGCCGAGAGAGAACGGCTTAGAGCTCCTCTTCAAAGCGGCAGTAAGGTTTTGGTTTAGGGTTTAGGGCTTGGGGTTTATAGGGTTTAGGGCTTAAGGCTCACAGGGTTAAGGGTTTCCCAAACCCTGGACGATCGAGCCCCTGAGACCTGCAGGCGTCTGCTTCAGGGATCCCAAAAGTTATAGGACTTCGAAACATTCAGGGTTTGGGGTTTAGGGGTCCAGGGGCTTAGGGTTTGGGGTTCAGGGGTCCAGGGGCTTAGGGTTTAGGGTTTAGGGGTTTAGGGTTTAGGGTGTAAGGGTTTGCGGTTCAGGGGCTTTGGGTTTAGGGTTCAGCGTATAGGGCTTCATCGATTTCGTAGGCGTTAGGCATGCTAGGGCTTTGGCGACACATTATAGCTTAGTTATACAGAGACGACACGGGTATGCTAATTTCATAAACGACCAACCACTCATGGCCTCCATACCGTCGAGTGCCACCAAAGGTATGGGTATGGGGCTCTTCGATACTAGCAGCCCCACGGCGACACCCGACATGTACACACTCACCGCTTTTCAAGGAGCCCTGTATACCAAAGCCCTAATACGAACCCCACTTCACGAAACCCTTAACTGATAGACCCTAAGCCGACGCCGAATTTCATGGCCCAATGCAATCCCGACTGGAACCGCTCCTGGCGCTTTCGTTGGCGCCCCGCCTGAAACAGCGAACGGATGGATGGCTCGGAGAAGCTGGACACGCAACCTTGAACTCTGAAAATATGCCACGCCCGAAATCATCACACTCTTACACCGGGCCTGGCCAGTCCCCGAAACCTAACCTGGATATCGGGCTTAGCACGCCGCTCCTCAGATCTGGGCGTATTCCCTGCAGCCATGGTCTCCAATCTCCATGTATTTTTATGGCTTTGGGACTTGAGGGTTCAGGGCTTCGCGACTTGAGGTTTTAGTATTTAGGGGGATGTTCTTCCTCGAGGCATCTGGTGTGTTGTCTTTCTTATCAAGCTGACCCTAACCCTCCGGGTACCTACTATATAAGCTACTACGTAGAATCCCTGGGGCCCTTTATAGTAGGTACCTGGAGGGGTCGGGTGAGTTTCAGTCAGTCAAGAAACGCAAGTTTGACACAGCACCCTAAACCCTAAACCCTAAACCCTAAACCCGGAAAGGACTCAAGCTAAGGCCACCGTAGTTGGAGACAAGCTGTCCTGGCTTAGTGAGAACCCAACGGGTCCTCGGTACTGTTATGGGGTTTAGGGTTTAGGGTTTAGGGTTTAGGGGATACTTTCCCAAATCATAATAACACTTCCTAATATAGAAATCCTACATTCTACTATATAGGTACTTTGGACCCTTTGACAAAGCCTTCAAGGCTTTGGGCGTATTCTTCGGGCTTACAGGTTTGGGAGTTTAGGGTTTAGGGTTATAGGGTTTAGGGTTTAGGGTTTAGGGTTTAGGGTCTAGGGTCTAGGGTCTAGGGTCACAAAAAAGTGGGTTTTGGGTTCTTAAGGTACACACAACCCTGAACCCGACCGTTCGAACATGAGAGGGCAAGGGTTTACAGGAATTAGGTGTAGATGCTGTAACTTGAAGTGCGTAAACTAACAAAGCATACTCACGGCAGCAATTTAGCCTGCGACTCTGTGATATAGACGCCCAGATTGGCTACACTGGATTTTGGGGATGTTGTACTCTGGTGTTGCGGAGCCGCCAGAAACTCTTCCCCAAACCCCAAGCCCAGCCCCCCTAGACCCTAAACCCCTAAACCCAGAAACCCTAAACCCGAAGGCCGAAACCCTAACTAAACCCCAAACCCCTAAACCCTAGAAACCCAAAACCCTAAACCCCTAAACCCAGAAACCCTAAACCCGAAGGCTCTTAGGGATCCGTGAGCTGAGCTCCCCACAGGCCAGGCTGTGCGACAGTGCCCACAAGCAGCGCGAGAGCGGCGATAGACCGAGCCATGGGTCCAAAAAGCACTCGACGCCGGAAATTTAAAGGGACGGAGTTGCAAAAAGGACCGATGGGGCTTCGATTTCAGGGAGTATTCTTGTAGAGTTTACGGTTTACCCCAAAGTCTAAGCCCTAAAGCCCTAAGCCCTAAAGCCTAAAATCCTAAAAACCCTAAACCCTAAACCCTAAACCCTAAACCCTAAACTCAGGCTCATCACGGCATGTTTCGCTAACGATTTCGTGACAAGACGACGAGTTCGACTCAACCGTCCCGGGATTGGAGCCCAAGCCTGCGACGTATGCAGCTTTTTAAAGTATAGGGTTTAGGGTTTAGGGGTTTAGGGTTTAGGGTTTAGGGTTCAGGGGTTTGGGCTTAGAGGTTTAGGGGTTTAGGGTTTAGGGTTTAGAGGCTTTGGGGTTTAGGGTTTAGGGTTTAGGGTTCAGCAGCTCTGACCTTGCAAATTTCTTGTCAAGGAAACACCCCAGCCGCCCATGGATTCCCCTCACGTTTAGAAACAACACAGTTAGGTTGTTCAAACAGAATCGAAAACCCCCAAACCCGAAAACCCGAAAACCCCTAAACCCGAAGCCCATAAACCCTAAACCCAAACCCCTAAACCCCTAAACCCCTACACCCTAAACCCCTAAACCCTCAACCCTAAACCCCCACGCCCTAAACCCCTAAACCCCTAAACCCCTAAACCCTAACCACTACCCCCTAAGCCCTAAACCCTAAACCCAAACCCCTAAACCCCTAAACCCCTACACCCTAAACCCCTAAACCCTAAACCCTACACCCCCACGCCCTAAACCCCTAAACCCTAAACCCCCACGCCCTACACCCCTGAACCCCTAAACCCTAACCACTACACCCTAAGCCCTAAACCCCTGAACCCTACACCC